GTTACCATGTTTAGGACCCTGGACAGTTACCATGTTCAGGACCCTGGTTAGTTACCATGTTTAGGACCCTGGTTAGTTACCATATTTAGGACCCTGGACAGTTACCATGTTCAGGACCCTGGACAGTTACCATGTTCAGGACCCTGTACAGTTACCATGTTCAGGAATGTCGACAGTTACCATGTTTAGGACCCTTGACAGTTACCATGTTTAGGACCCTGGAGAGTTACCATGTCCAGGAGTGTGGACAGTTACCATGTTTAGGAGTGTGGACAGTTACCATGTTTAGGACCCAGGACAGTTACCATGTTCAGGACCCTGGACAGTTACCATGTTCAGGACCCTGGACAGTTACCATTTTCAGGACCCTGGACAGTTACCATTTTCAGGACCCTGGAGAGTTACTATGTCCAGGAGTGTGGACAGTTACCATGTTTAGGACCCAGGACAGTCACCATGTTCAGGACCCTGGACAGTTACCATGTTTAGGACCCAGGACAGTTACCATGTTCAGGACCCTGGACAGTTACCATGTTCAGGACCCTGGACAGTTACCACAATCAGGACCCTGGACAGTTACCATGTTCAGGATCCTGGACAGTTACCATGTTTAGGACCCTGGACAGTTACCATGTTCAGGACCCTGGACAGTTACCATGTTCAGGAGTGTGGACAGTTACCATGTTCAGGACCCTGGACAGTTACCATGTTCAGGACCCTGCACAGTTACCATGTTCAGGACCCTGGACAGTTACCACGTTCAGGACCCTCGACAGTTTCAATTTTTAGGACCCTGGACAGTTTCAATTTTTAGGACCCTGGACAGTTACCATGTTCAGGAGTGTGGACAGTTACCATGTTCAGGACCCTGGACAGTTACCATGTTCAGGACCCTGGACAGTTACCATGTTCAGGACCCTGGACAGTTACCATGTTCAGGACCCTGGATAGTTATCATGTTCAGGACCAAGGACAGTTACCATGTTCAGGAGTGTGGACAGTTACCATGTTCAGGACCCTGGACAGTTACCATGTTCAGGACCCTGGATAGTTATCATGTTCAGGACCCTGGACAGTTACCATGTTCAGGAATGTCGACACTTACCATGTTTAGGACCCTTGACAGTTACCATGTTTAGGACCCTGGACAGTTACCATGTTTAGGAGTGTGGACAGTTACCATGTTTCTGTATATATATGTAGTTGTCATGACAATTTTATTTGCAATTACATGTACGCAGATTAGGACTTTATATAGATATTCATTGTATATGTACAGCGCCATCAAGTGGTGATATTTGTAGTTTCTGTTATTTTTTGAACATAGCTTTGACTTGATTTGAATTGAAGAATTGTGCATTTTCAAAAATTATGTTTTATTCTCAAGTCATTCTCACTCATATTTCTGTATATATATATTTACCAGTTTCCTGCAAACTTTTTTAATTTAACCATGGATAAATTACTGTGTATAGGACCCTGGATATAATTACTATGTTCAGGACTTTGGACAGTTACCATGTTCAGGACCCTGGACAGTTACCATGTTCAGGACCCTGGACAGTTACCATGTTCAGGACCCTGGACAGTTACCATGTTCAGGACCCTGGACAGTTACCATGTTCAGGACCCTGGACAGTTACCATGTTCAGGACCCTGTACAGTTACTGTGTTCATCACCCTGTACAGTTACCGTTTCCTGGACCCTGGACAGTTGCACAGATATCAATTATGTGTGATGAAGAAAGCATAATATTTCATTTTAATCTTATTTGTTTACAGCCATGAAAGAACTCATGAGAAGTTTGTGGTGCGATCTCAAGCAGTTGCCGCCATTTATCCAGAAGATGTCAATCCACAGATGCCAAGCACTAGTAGTCATGGCAATAGCAATAACCATAGGAATACCCAGGATACACAGACAGTTTTTAATAACAACAATAGCTGCAAATCAGCTGGCAATACTAGCAGTAGTTCAGGGACAACTGGTGCCAATCCAGTTGAAAGGAGAAGAAAGCTGTTTTCAAACTCCAAGGCTGTCAGTGTCTGCATACTACACAGGCCCTGGTAAGATTCATTTGTTTTTATTCTTTCCTGCTTAATATTGAACATCACTCAAGAACTCATTGAAAATTGTGTTGAGTAGATGCAGCTATCTGAATGAATTTACAAGGCAAGCGATTTCCATAGTATGCAGTATGTCAGTTGACGCTATTTCTGGATATTATTGTAAAATATGTCTCTGTAGAAATGTGTCCAGTAATGTTGTAAACATCATGTCATCAACAATTAATTAATTCAACTAATTATATTGCTTATCCATCTGTACACATTATCAAAAAGATTAAATAATTAAGTTCCACATTAAATTTTCACCTTAAATAATAATTATATTTCCCCCCAAATCCCTCATTTTCTTTACTGTGAAACCTTTTTTAGCTATTTTAGAAAAGAGCCCTTCATTCTTACACTAAGAATGTTGACAATTTGATAAGCTAAGCCTGCATTTAGTTAACATGGCATGTGGCAATAGACAATTTCTGTTTGCTCAGGACATCGAGACAAATGTCTTGGCAATGCAATGGCATCAAAACATCGCATGCAATTTGAAAAAAACGTGAAAGTAGTTTTTGTGTATTTTTACACTCTATGCAATTATTCCTTCTAAAAGATCCACAATAAACTGAAAAAATAGAAAGTCAACTTTAAAATAAAATCATTTGTATTTCACAACAGATGTTCTGTCCATGCATTTTATGCGATAGCATTGAACAAAAAATCACCTGTCCCAAAGTGTTCTAGAGTATGCTAAAGATCCTATTCGTTGGTACATTTAATTCTGATTTGACTCTATAAGTAGGATAAAATATGTGATGTACTTTCACATACTTAAGATATTAGATAGCTGACTACTTCACTTTGTTTTATTAGAGGTTGACATTCTGATTGATATCACTATTCTCCATTCACTCATAAAGAGATAAACACAACTTAATTAATATTAGCGTCTTGTCAAAACTCTCTAGCGTATGAACTCATGACGTTCATGTGTTCTTATGACGTCTTTTTCCACATCCTTTGAGCCATTAATTAATTAGTGAAACAATCCAGATTGGAGTCTTTCTCTCTTCAAGGTCACCTTGTGTTTACATGTAAATACTAGCCTTATAATATTTTGTGTGTCCTTGTTTTATGTCTGTGAATCTAAACCGCAAATGTCTCATCGGATGTTACATGTCATGTGATGCATGTGATTTATTTGCATAAAATTGTGTGAATGAGGCTTTTGTATATGAATTAGATAATCTAGTGTGGTGAGAATTGGGACCAAATGGAAAGGGTGTGGTATGTGATCCCAAGATGCTTGTTATGTAAGTCAAATACAAATGCACAGTTTGTCAAAAATTCAAATCCAAATTTGAGTGGGTACTGTGGAACGGACAGACATCTTTGAACTTACATTACTGCAAGATCAAAGCTTGAAGAATAATGAAACATACTGAGGCTGAATCAATGAATGGAGGACTAATTTGCATCGTCCCTAAGAATATCAGACGTGGTGATGCTGCTGCTGACTGCCCTCTACAGTTGAAAAATAGAGTTTAAAAGTAAGTGCCTACATTTGTCAATAGCGCCCTCAGTTTCATTTATATTCTGTTAATGTTCCTGTGTCCCTTTCATTTAAAATTGAATTTGGTATATAAGCTAGTATAACTATATTCATTTCCTGTAAACAGGTTTTGTAAACTGTAAAACTTAATTTCATTGTTCTGGAGTGTATTACTGTCAATGTATTTGTCAATAACTGGACATCACTCACAATGTTTTTTTGGCAGGAAAGTATGAATAATGCAATTAAAAACATTACAATGATTTATGTGTTCAATCAGGTTACGTGCTAGTGCTCATATCGTATGAATATAAACTAGCTAGAGTCTGTTTTCATCATTCCTGTCAGCATTCAATAACAGGGTTCCACAGAAATAATTGTGAATGCAAACAACCACTGAAGGGATCTTGAATTATCGGTACACAATTGGAGATATTTGAAAATTTTCACATAGTTTGAGGGAATTTGTTCCTGTATTGATTTCAGTGGGAAGCAAATACAGTATGCACATAGCTCTGAGTCTCTTTTGATCTAATTTTTCCAAAGCTATTATTGTGTATAAATGCATCAATCTACAAGGACGGTTTCCTCCAAGAGCATGATAATAGTTGTAGCACGCTCTGATAGAGCATGAGAAATGAAGGTAGATATCCATATTATTGTGTACAATGGGTTAGAGGTTCTTCTGTTCATCACTATGGCAACTAAGATCTTTGTAACTATGGGAGGCCATTTTGAATGTATGCTAAAATGTTTGGATAGCAAGCGAAACGAAAATTTAATTCAGAAAAAAATAGATCCCTCATATCTTGCTTTGTCTTTTTAAATAGAAAATTATAATTATAAGGATTATTTGTTATGTTTTACACTAAAATGTTGGCATGATTGTCTTCCAATGTTTTTTATAACTCATATTGATTAAAATTAATTAGCTAAGAAATGATTTGCTCTTTGCTACTTGTACAATTATTGATTTATATGGATTTGATGAACATTGATATGACATTGAACTTTACAATTGCACAATATAAACAGTAAATCATGGTTCCTCGTCAAATAGACTTTTAGCATGTCAAAATCTATTTTTTTCATCCTTTTTATGGGCCAGCATATTATTATCTTGTATAGGAGAGAATTGGGTATGAACATATTGTTGCGAAAGGTTTCAAATTATTTAAATCTGCCTTGAAAAAGACTTTCAGCACCGACGTAATTATTACATAATATTACATTGGTGTAAGATGTAAACACACAACAAAACATAAATGCCATCACTCAGCGATGATTCATAACATTTTTTATAAAAGAAAATACTGAGTTCATCCTCCTTAACAGGCATAACATTTACTTTTGGTATACTGATTATAATTACTGAAATATAAACAAGTTAATTGGTGTAATTGATCAGCTGAACACCCTAGGCCCATGTTTATTTATAGCCACCACCCCCTAGGTGTATGTTTATTTATAGCCATCACCCCCCTAGGTGCATGTTTATAAATTGTGGTCACCCTCTAGGCTACCGTTTATTAATAGCCACCACCCTCTGTCTTTTGTTTATTCACGACGTCATTACTTATGTTCATGTTTTTCATAATTGAAAAAAAATACTGGAAGGCTGTTATTGAATTCAATGAGGTGGGAAATTGGATTCATTACTGATGGGAATTTTAATTGGAGAACTAAGAAAACGTGTGCATTGTCATATGAGCAATACGGAACAATGATGTAGTTTGTGTAGTATAATAACAGCCTGCTGTGACCAATGAGGTCACATATTGTAGATAATCGTAAAATTACTTTTAAAACTATGAACTAAGCTTATAATATTTTTATATGGTTGAAAGCTATTGAAAGATTCTGGTCAAAGTACACTCTTGTCCCCCATCAGTTGGATGTTGCCATGGCGATCTCTTATTTCTGTCAGTCAAACTATAAGGATCCATGAAACTCCAGAGAATAAAGGAACTGCTGCGTCAGTAGTTCACATTCCTCATGACAGCGAGACAACCAAGCAATGAATACTCAATTTGTTTGTGCAATGAATGTTAAATGTAACTTTCTTATCGTTCTGAATTCATAAATATATATATGTTATTCAAACAAATTTCATGAAAATTCCAGAAAAAATGCCATTATACATGTATCGCTCAGTTTCAACAATATAGCAATGGCGTAACCCATTGAACTCGTACATTTAAGAAATTCATTGATGATGACAATGATCAGCATCACATGTTGTAATTTTTCAGATGTCTTACCATCATTTGCATATTTTTCCTCGCTATTGTGTTATTTCTAGATTTGACCAAATATTTTCATGTATTTGTAAAAAATAACTTTTTTTAGCTGTTTATGATAGACCAGTATAGAAAAGTACTTACATTAAATTCACAAAGTACATTCAAAGCAAAAGCTGGCATCATAAAACCTATTATACAATTATAAAAACTAGATGTATTTCCATGTTCCTATACATGTATTTTATGAGTCAGCTTGTCTAGTGCTCCTTAACTTACTAGTGTTATGTTAGACTCCCTATCTGTAGAATATTGTTGGTGGTACATCACTATTTTTATTGTTACACTGTTGTTATTAGTTATTATTATTAACAATAAACCCTCAGTTCGTGTTAAGCAGTATGATTATTATGTGTAAATAATAAAAAAAAGCGTAAAAGAAAATTATTCCCATCTTCCTATTTTGGTAATTGTAAAAGTGGAATTGTTTCTTTGTACGCTTGCTTCTGGCTGATCATGGGTGTGGTTTAAGATTAATTCGAAAACTTAAAAGGACCATTCACAGCTATTGTGAATTGGACGTCAGTATGGATAAATATAATTTCCAGATGATGTAAGTGTTGCCTGTTCAGCAATTTTAGTAAAGATGGTGGTACAATTAATCAACCCAACAGTAATTTACCACCTTTCGTATTTAAATCTACATTAATAAATATTAACAAAAATATACAGTTAACATTCTAAAAATGAAGGTTGAAAATTCTAAACTCTTCATTTCTGAACAGACACCAGATTTAAAAGAAACGACTGAACAGATTAATTACTTAATATAGTTATTTGATCAGGTATGTAATTATATTAATGGTTTATACTTTGGTACTTTAAGATCTTTAGGCTTCATTACATGATGTTATCTATAATTTCACAACCATATTTAATCTATTAAAAACATTTTTTTTAATGTATTAGCATTTTGCTTTCTGTGGTTAAAAAAATACTTTATAGATTAATATTTTATGATTTAATATACATGTTTAATATGGCGCCTTTAATCTAAAGTCTGCAGTTTATTATTATAGCTGATTATAGTGGAGTCTCGCGGCTCAGACATTTTTGTGACGATGTACATAGAGTACACCTCACAAATGTTACAGGTACTGAACTGACTGAACACAATGAGCCCAGTCAAGATTAAATGAATAATCTTCCTTGTTGTG